TTCTCTCAACATGGGGACAGGAGAGCTGTCAGTCAATAAATTGGAGAGAAAAAAGTAACATTTGAAAAAGTAACTCAGATATTCTCTTGTAAATTAAAAAGTAATGCGTTACTTTACTAGTTACTTGAAAAAAGTAATCTGATTACGTAACTCGCGTTACCCCCAACACTGACCACGAGTAACAGGCAGAAATGGGGAAGGTTTTGAAAGCATAATTAAGGCATTAAAGGTGTTCTTACTTATCCCAGGGATCCAGCGGGTCTTCTCCAGCATAGCTGCGCACGCTCAGCTCAAACGCCCTGCAGTGGTGATCAGTGAAAGCAGATGATGAACGGGGTGCTACCCTCTCAGATTGTGCTTCCAGCACATTAATAAGGTGTGAGGCTTTATTAACATGTACACCTACCCCAACCCCAAACCTACCCTTACAGTAAGATAAATACAGTGTTGGTAGCATTATTTATCCAATGGCCAGACCTGGTTTACTGTATTTCTCCAGTGTAAACATCATGTAATAAATCCTTACAGTAAACATTTGAACACTATGTGAAGCAGCAGCAACAGGCGATGACAGAAATTAGCTCTCATACTGTACAAGTGAGTTAGAAAAACGACCAGTTCTGTTACAGAGAATAAAAACATCACGGAAATCATGTGAGAAAAACAATAAACGAAGTGATGGGGACCTGAATCAAAAAACAGCAGATCACTCTCTGCTTTTGACTGAATAACTTCAGTAGCTTTAATAAAAATGATGCAGTTACTGAATAATCAGATGTAAAAATAAAATGGTGCGTAGTCTTGATTGTATGAATTAAATAGGCTACACACTCATTTTTTTTTTTAAAGCTACTGAAGTTATTCAGTCAAAATCAGAGAGTGACAGCAGCAGGTTTAAAGGGCTGCAGTCTGTTTACAGTATTACGTATGTATAAAATGAAATTAAACAACAATCTCTTAAATGTTTTTTTCTAGTTTCATTGATTTATATATTTTTTAAACATGGACCTTTACTTTCAATAAAAATGCTTATTTCTGCTATTGTAAGTTCACAATGTAAGCTATTAATTTAAATTTTAGTCAAGCACAAATGTTTTACTAAATTGTGGCCACGTTTTTAGTTGAATCAAATCGAGCGAACAAACCTTTATATCGTGAGCACAATTTACTCAATACGAGGAAACGAGATAGTAAGTTGTGCTCAAGCTTTAGGCCTAGGCTATTTTTTTCCCTGCATGTCATTTGTGGGGCTCCGTGCATAAGCCACGTTAAGCGTAAAATATCCACTTCGATTACGATGCTATTGTCTTAGAAGTATAGTGTTTATGACAAGTGAAACGTGAGAAAAAAACCCTGATCTTCCCTGGTTGTTTGAGAACATTAAGCCACGTTAAGTGTTTTTCACACGCTTTTCCACTCCTCTGCAGTGTCTCGAGTGCTCAAGTCAAAAGACATTTAAAAGTTTAAAAAATACTTTTTTTTCTTTCTTTCAAACTCCACTGCCGAGTCTTGTTCTGTGTGATTTGTGAAAAACATGTTCTGTGTGATTTGTGAATTAGAATGTCCTGCCTGAGTGGGCGTTAAAGGAGTAGTTCACTTTACTCATCCAAGATGTTTGTGTCTTTCTGTCTTAAGAAATTAAGGTTTCTGAGACCCTTATTTCTCGGCTGGGATCAGTGTTGGGTGTAACGCGTTACTAAGTAACTCTAATTAAATTACTTATCCACTGAAAAAGTAAAGTAAGAGACTACTGTTCATTTTTAGGTAATTTAATTACAGGTACTTATAAAGTACTTGCGTTACATACTGTAAATAATTTAAACAGTTCTAAAATCAATATTGAATTGAAATAAAATAAAGATAAAATTGAATGCAGCGTCTTTAACCCTCTGCGCGCCGGCGCGTTCACTTTCCGTTTTTCCTGATTCACAGAGAAACCTTAAATGCTCAGATACAGATAAGACTCAAATCAATCGAATCTAAAAAGGGCCTACTTTTATTTGTGTACGCTGACAATAACAACAAAACATTGTGCTTTTGTAAAATAAACAAAACAAACAGGGTGTGCTTTCTGCCGTCTCGGTCTCCGTGAGCAACTTTCTACGCATCACAAACTCAGCGAATACTTGAAACAGAGACATGAGAAATATGTCTATAGAAAGCTTTAAGTGTCTACTTTTAAATTAACGAATTCAAATCGAAAACAAATATTCTCTGATTATGTAATCCGTATGAAACTAAAGCGAGGTACAGTCTTTCCCGTATATGAGCTCATTATATGCAGTCACCAGCACGCAAACGCCGTCACCTAGATACAAAAAATAGATTTTAAAAAATCAAGATTCATGTAGTTTTCATCGTTTTTGAAAGAAGACCTGCTATGAGGAATAAGCCAGAATTTACCTCAGATGAAGTGTAGCCTTATTAGCGATTTGAATAAGTTACTTATTGAGTAACTAAATTACTTTTCAGACAGAGTAATTAGTAAAGTAATTTAAACACAATATTGATTTTGTAATTAGTAATAGTAATTAATTACTTTTTGAAAGTAACTTACCCAACACTGGCTGGGATCGTGTAGAGTCCTTTGAAGCTGCAGAAAGAAAGACATGAACATCTCGGATGACAGAGGGGTGAGTAAATTATTAGGACATTTTTATTCTGGAAGTAAACTAATCCTTTATAGGGCACCGATTATGTCCCTTTCTACAATATGTAATAAGTCTCCGGTGTCCCCAGAGTGTGTCTGTGAAGTTTCAGCTCAAAATACTCCACAGATCATTTATTATATCATTTGGAAAATGCCTATTTTGAGTGGAAGCAGAAACACGCTGTTTTCGTGCCTGTCTCTTTAAATGCAAATGAGCTGCTTCTCCCCGCCCCCTTTTCCAGAATAGGGCGGAGCCTTTACAGATCACACCTCAGATGCTCTGCCAAAAAACATCTGCTTGGTTTTGATTATCGTTTCTATCGTGCTGAAATCATGCGTTTTACAGCCATATCAGTTTAAACTTCTGATAAAGTGTTTTCTGAGCGCACAGAAAGCGGCTGTATGTCACACGGCATGAGCACTAAACTAAGCTCTCTTTCATGTCTTATTGCGCTTAAACTTTCAAATACACAAAAGTTTGTTAAAAACGCATGAGTTACATAAACACAGTGGGTTATGTCTGTGAAGGTAAACAGCTGGGAACGAAATCGCATGTCTATATTAGATCTGTGTGGCAGAAGTGTAATATACAGTACCTACTGCTGTCTACGCTGCTAATATGAGCCAAACAATAAATAAAAACAGAAAATCACTCACTGCTCTTGACCGAATAACTTCTATAGCTTTAGTAAGAAGACATTTCTAACTTGAATGCTGTTTTTAAATGCTCTAGCGTGAAGATAAACATGGCTCACTCAGGGCGGGGCCAGTCAGCGGCCGTGGGCGGGGCCTAAACATTGTGACATCGCTTACTACTGGCCTAGCATGAATAATACAACGCTTTTAGTCGTTTTCGCTGATCTGTGTGAACGGTGATCGATTTGACAACGCTGTCATACACAAAAATGCAAAACTTTTCAAGAACAATGGAAAAACCATTTTTTAGTACAATTGTTGTGTAAATGCACCCTTATGTTACGTCTTCATGTCAAGACACAGCAGTAATGTTTCTTTTCTAGATATTAGTGTTTCTGTTCATCTTTAGCGTCAACAATACTGCTCAGAATATTTTTTTACTTTTACTTTACTAATACTTTTATTCAAGGATGCATTCAAGTAATCAAAAGTGACAGTAAAGACATTTATAAAGTTACAAAAGATTTCTATTTCAAATAAATGCTGTTCTTTTGAACTTTCTGTTCATCTGTGAATCCTGAAAAATAAAATGCGTCACAGTTTCCACAAAAATATTGTGCAGCACAACTGTTTTCAACATTGATAATAATCAGAAATGTTTCTTGAGCAGCAAATCAGCATATTATTATGATTTCTGAAGATCATGTGACACTGAAGACTGGAGTAATGATGCTGAAAATACAGCTGCGCATCACAGAAATAAATTACAGTTTAACAGATATTCACATAGAAAACAGCTGTTTTACATTATAATAATATTTCACAATTTTACTGTTTTTACTGTATTTTTAATCTAAATAATGCAGTCTTGGTGAGCAGAAGAGACTTCTTTCAGAAATATTAGGGTTTATGTTTGGTGAGTGACTGCGTTGTCATTTTTTGATTAAATGAAGAGAAAATCAAGTTAAGAGTGAAGCCGTTTATGATGCCAGTATTCATATGATTTAGTAGCTTGTGTTCTGAATGCTCTTGTGTTTCCATTTGAAGCAGTTCATAAAATGATGCAACCAAAGGAGGAATATGAAGATATAACCGAGCCATGTGGAGTGAAATCTGAAGGTAAGTGACGGATCAGACCTGGACTAATGTCTGTTCTCAACTGGATTCTGGAACTCATGTTGCTCGCTCAGTATAACCAGATGAGTATAAACTAAAGTGAGTTTATTTAGTGTACCATTTGTTCATAATATGTGACCCTGCAGCACAAAAGCAGTCTGAAGTCGCTGGGGTATATTTGTAGCAATAGCCAACAATACATTGTATGGGTTAAAATTATACATTTTTCTTTTATGCCAAAAATCATTAGGATATTAAGTAAAGATCATGTTCCATGAAGATATTTTGTAAATTCCATACCATAAATATATCAAAACTTAATTTTTGATTAGTAATATGCATTGCTAAGAACTTAATTTGAACAACTTTAAAGATGATTTTCTCAATATTTAGATTTTTTAGCACCCTCAGATTCCAGATTTTCAAATAATTGCATCTCAGCCAAATATTGTCCTATCCTAACAAACCATACATCAATGGAAAGATTATGTATTCATATTCCAGAAAAGAATCGACCCTTATGACTGGTTTTGTGCTCCACGGTCACATATATGAAGTACTTATTTTCTAAAACATGTTTTACTCTAAACCTGCTAGAAAATCAAAGCCATAAATCTAACAACGTTGTGTTCCAAATTTGAGGTTGATATCACAAAAAAAATGAGAATTTTGTTTGGCCGCAGTACCGAATGTTTCCACTAGGGGAAATACGTTTGCTGTTTGCTTCCAATGTTTACAAATGATCATACAGTATATCTTTATTGACCCTTATGACTGGTTTTGTGGTCCAGGGTCACATATGTACTTTTTAACATTTATCAGCAATAAAACATTTACATTGTACTTGTAGAAGTTCTCACCATGATTCATGAAGATGAAGAAGTGGAAAAGACAAGAGGAGCAACACTGGGAAAGAGTTCAGCACACAAGCTTCATTATTGCTCTGAGTGTGGGAAGAGCTTCAGCGTGAGAGCGCGCTTCAGACGACACATGCACATACACACCGGAGACAAGCCCTACCGCTGCTCACACTGCCACATGTGCTTCACGTCTCAGGAGAACCTGTCCGAGCACGCACAGAAACACTCCAGCCAGAGACCCCACCGCTGCTCGCAGTGCGGCAAGGGCTTCTTCAGACCGGGGAGACTTGAAGTCCACTGGAGGATCCACACTGGAGAAAAGCCCCATCACTGTGCTCAGTGCGAGAAGAGCTTCAAGAGCACAGAGGAGCTGCAGCGGCACGCACTCGTACACACGGCAGAGAAGCACCACCACTGCTGTCAGTGCGAGAGGAGCTTCAGGAGGAGCGGCCAGCTGCGCAGACACATGCGCACACACACCGGCGAGAAACCCTACGGCTGTGTGCAGTGTGAGAGGAGCTTCTCCCGGCCTGAGCACCTCAGGGACCATCAGCTCAGAGCTCACCGACACCAGACGCATGAGCCCGCTTGATGTCCAGCTTTACCTCTGCTTTCAGACTCCCCCAAAACACCAGCGCTTGCTTCACTTCCAGTCGGTATATGCGAAGAGAACAATACAAATCTATCAAAAACTCTTGTTTGTGAAACTGCTTTATTCTTTTGTGTTTATGGTGGTATAATTGCATGAGTGGAAAAAAGAGATTCATCTGATTTGGGTTGCCTAATGGTATAATAAATGACTTAATTAGTAGTAATGGAGGATCATTTTTATTTTGAGAAATAATAGTTTTCCTTATTCATTTGCATGAATAAGAATACTTTTCTTAGGAAATTACATGTAATCCAGCCGATGTAGATTCTATAAAACTGATTAAAAACTATAACGAAAGCATAAGATCAGGTTGAAAGAATTTCACCCTTGTGAAAAAGGAATAACCTTAGCATACTTTTAAAGAGCTTTTATTACAATATATATATATGTGTGTATATAGGCCTATAGGTAACACTTTATTTTAAGGTGTCCTTGTTACACATGTTGCATGTACTTACTATTATAATAACAATTAATTATGCATAATTACATGCAAGTAACCCTAAGCCAAACCCAAAACCTAACCCTAACCATATAGTAAGTGCATGTAGTTAATTAATATTACTCAGTACTTATATGTATAATTACACTGTAACAAGGACACCTTAAAATAAAGTAACCTATATATATATATATATATATATATATATGACTTTTATTTGTATAAATAACTTTTATATCATAAATGACTTATTTTATTTGCATTATAAAAAACAGGATCATTTTAATTTTGATAAAAAATATATTTTTTTTATGCATTGGCATGAATAAAAATACGTTTATTTTGAAGTGACATTGCATGTGTAAGTGTCTGTTTGTCTGACTGCACACCAGACCTTTTTTGCATATAAATTGCAATTAAATATATTATAGTTTAAGTTAAAATAAAAATGTATATTAAATGCAGTTAGATGAACTTTAGATTGTTTTTAACCCACTTAAGTAAGACTTCAGGACATCTTTTTCATTATTACTTCTATTGTCTTTGAAATGTGGTTAAAGTGTTGCTGCTGATTGTACTGACAAGCATTTATGCTGAACTAAATACTTTATTAAAAATACTTTATTAATGAATTAATGTCATTGAAATTGAAATGTATGGCATGTAGTATTGACACATCTGTAATGATAAAGTTGCCTTTTCAAATATATTGCCATATCAAATAACACACTATGGTATAAAATTAAGTTCTTTACATGTGCTTTAGTATGTTATTAGTATGTACCTCTGTGAAGCACGACAAAAGTAAAACCTAATGATTTAAAATGTACTTTAAAGTAAAACTGAATGTGACATTTGTGCACACTTATTTAAGTGTGTTCATAGTCATGAAAGTTTCTCTCTTTAAGTACACGTAAGTGGCTGTATTTCATTAATATTATGTGCGAGTAGTTTTTTTTATTTTTATATTTATTTATTTGAAGTGGCAGTACTACTTGTGAAAACACTACTAAAGCGAATTTAAAACACTAAATATGGTTAATAATTGGGGAAATTGAATAAATAATATAAAATTGCATTTTAACTGTATCATAAAAATGAGAGTTATCACTGCCGGTATAAATAATGTAGATTTATTAATTGAGGTACTGTTGAAACATCGGGCTATAAACAAGCAGACTTTTATTTTGAAATGTCGCCGGTGTGTGCGTGTGCAGCCGGAAGTGCCTGTGTGTCGCTCCTGACGCTAGCTTGCGCTCGTCTTCAGTCGTGTTGGAAACAGAAATGCAGACAGACGTCCTGATCAGAAGACAGAAGATCGATTACTATCAACACTGATTAACCGACAGAGATCAATCATGGCGAGCGGTAAGTGAGCGGTACTGTAGGACACAAATCAAAACAACTAATAATATCGTGCTGCTGGTACTTCACGTGACGGATTGGTTTGCTCATGAAGCTCTTGACTGATCGTGAATGTAAGTGACGGATCAGTGCAGTGATGTTGGTGTTGTTGTGTCTCAGAGTCCGTGAGTGTGATCTTCAAGATCTACTGCCTGGCTGTCATGACCCTGATCGCTGCCGCATACACGGTGGCTCTCAGATACACCAGGACCGTGTCCTCGGACCTGTACTTCTCCACCACCGCCGTGTGCCTGACGGAGCTCATCAAGCTGCTGCTGAGCCTGGGGATGCTGGTCAGGTGTGTGTGTGTGTGTGTGTGTGTGTGTGAGAGAGAGAGAGATAGAGAGTGTGTGTGTGAAACGTGGCTTTGGAAGGAAAGATTGCAATCAAATAGCACACCTAGGTTCCTAACTAATGACAAGGAATTAACAGAGCAGACATCAAGTGTTAGAGAGTGTTCTAGGTTATTATATGCAGAGGTTTTAGGTCCGATAATTAACACCTCTAAGGGTAACATGTAAAGCGTGAAAAGTAACGGCCCTAGTACTGAGCCTTGAGGTACTCCATACTGCATACTGTGTGTGTGTCTGTGTCTCTGTCTGTCTGTCAGAGTAAAGTGCGGTGAGTGTGCTTTGTCCTCCTCACGTCTGCTGTGATGCTGTGTGACGCAGGGAGACGGGAGACTTGGGCCGGTTCAGAAGCGCAGTGGTCAGCCACATTTTCAAGAGTCCCAAGGAGCTGCTGAAGCTGAGCGTGCCGTCGGTCGTCTACGCCATCCAGAACAACATGGCCTTCGTGGCCTTAAGCAACCTGGATGCCGCTGTCTACCAGGTATTATGAACACAATGACCTCCGTGCTTCCAGAAATACAAAGTCTGTCATCATGTCCTTGCTGTCGTTCAAAACTGTTTCAGTTGAACACAAAATTAGACATTTAGGAAGAACTTTCATGCAGCTCTCGCTGTAACAACAGTTTGTAGTTACCCAGTATAAAGACAGCAGTCTGAACGACGTGTGCTGTAAATCTGCCATTACCTGATAGATTCATGTGAGGAACAGATTGATATTCCCTGACAATCGTACAATCAGTTTCTAAACCAGTGCAATGAATGTCTTTTTCATCCTTTATGAGTTTCATGGCATCATGTAGCATAGGCGGATCGCGTAAATACAATTTCTCCAGTAAGACAAGCGATGCGTTCTCAAACGCCTGTCTAGCCATGGCCTATGTATATATATCAGGGCAGTTTCCTCCGAGGAGGCAAGGGAGGCAGTGTCTCCTCAAAATCATAGTACAAAAATAAAACAATCCAAATATTACAAAGTATGACATAGAAAAGTTTATAAATCACTCGTTTTGTAACCAGCAGGAGTCCACATCTCTCTCGCCTCCCCTGAGCCCATTGAGTTTTAACAGACCAACTAAAGTGTTTGGTGGGGGGTAATTGAGAATGAATGGGGGAAAGTCGCGTGTGAGGAGGCAATGCCTCCATCGCGATATGATTGGATATGACTGGTTCATGCGATAAAACCCGCCTCTTGTGTTCATGCGCGATCGCAAATTAGTCTGAATGAACAATATAATGGCATTAATGGGAAGACTTTTAAAAAAGTAAGTAAACAACTCACACACTTCGATATAACCACTTTGTCAAAATAAGCCTTGAAATGGCCTGAAAACATGATCTATGGGAGTTTTTAGTGAGTAATCAGCTTGGTGAAATTTTAAGTAAATCTCTGTGTCTATGACCAATATTCACCGAGCTTTGATGACTGATGAACCGAATAATTCAAAAATAGTTAAAAGTTAACTATTAAAAAGAATTGCTGAACATATGTCCTCACAAACTATGTAGCTATACACAGTGCTTAACAAATTTATTAGGCAAATAACAAGCTGAATCAACCAGCTGGAAAAGTGATTCCCTCGATATCGTTCATCGTGTTGATATTGTTGGTCTTCAAAACCTTTCATCAGTACACTCTGAAGTGACTTTGCTTTTCAGGTCACGTCGTAAATGTCGTATTTGTCACACATCTGTCAGTCATATGGAATCTCGCCCTACCTGTTTTTCTCATTGAATATCTTGTTTGACTCAGAAATGTGTCAGGTTATGGGAGAATAGCATTTCATGTTGACAAACACATTTTACATTTGAATAAATCCTTTCTTCTGGCTTTACCTCATTGAGAATGGGGGAAAGGTGAGTTTTCCTTGCCAGTCAAAGGAAGAAAAGCAAGCAAATGCTGCAGACTGACGCTGTTTGTGTGTCAGGTGACGTATCAGCTGAAGATCCCCTGTACAGCCCTGTGTACGGTGCTGATGCTCGGCCGCTCTCTGAGCCGCCTGCAGTGGTTTTCAGTCTTCATGCTGTGTGGAGGAGTCACACTGGTGCAGTGGACGCCGCCGCAGTCCACCAAAGTCCAGGTACGATCAACACTCGCCACATATGAGCTGATTTATTGACTGCTTGAAATCAGTAGCGTCTAGATTGGAGCCTCAAGAGTGTTATATACTACCAGTCAAAAGTTTAGAATAAAGTTTTTTAATGTTTTTGAAAGAAGTCTCTTCTGCTCACCAAGGCTGCTTTTATTTGATCAAAAATACAGTGAAATAAAGTAATATATTGCTGTGATCAAAGCTGAATTTTACCCCAGTCTTCAGCGTCACATGATCCAATAACGCACAGCCTGAATTTTCCAAAAATCCACATTCAAACCAAAATAGCCGACTTAATGTTGGTCGTAGCTAATGACTGTACATTAGAAAGTTGTCCGGCTTGATGAGAGCAATATATGTACAGAGTTTGGTGTCTGTAGCTAAAACTACCCCACCCCCACTTTAGTCAAAAGGTGGCGCTATAGAGCGCCTGCTCCACACTCATTTCTGAGCTTTTGCCAGTGTCTAACTATCATTAGCATAAATCCAGGCTACGCACTGCTGGTTTCAGCGCAAGCAGCTGTGGCATTCACTGACGAGCAAGTTATTTTGGTGACAACAACCCACCAAAATAAAAGCTTGCTGATTTTAGGTTTGAAAATGTTGAAAATTCATATTAAAAAAATTAAATTTAATTAAATAAATAAATATTAAGGAAAAAATGAAAAAATATATATATATTAGCATTGTATTTTTTTAAGTGTAATATAAAATAATTGTATTTTTATTTAGTACTAATTTTTTATTTTAAAAT